TTAATCAGCTATAAGCGTTTACTCCTTCAGTTAAACCAATCAGACTTAGCCACAGTCTCCTCCAGCCAAGCATGTTGCTGCTTTAAACTTTAAACTTTGAACCTGTTCTCCTTTCAGCTGCTTCCAGCTGTCATTTAAGTGTGAAATCATTGCAACCCTCCTCCACCACCCATTCACCTCCAGTTCATCATATCCAGTGTTCATCAGGGTTTCCTATACTAATCACAGCTTCACCAACACCTTCAAATACAATGACTTCACAATGTTGTCTAATAGCCAAAGACTTTTTACATTTGTCATTTTCATTGTGCACATCGATTAAATATATTTGTTGTCTCTCCTGATTGAAATCCCTACACACAGCCACAGCCACGCTTTTATCAGGTGTGTTCAGGCTGAATGCAAAAAAAGTATTCAGACAAGGCGACACAACTGCATATAACGTTAATGAAAAGATTCGGGTGAGCATGAAATGATGTCATGTATGCTCTAGGTGGTGCAAATTGTGGCAAGAAACCATTTGTGTGGGTAGGAAATGTTTTTCAGTAACTTGAGCAAATCATTTGTAATTATTCTGATGATGTATAAATGAATTTAAAGAGGCAACTGGAGTGTATGTATATGCGTGTCTATGTGTATGCGCGGGTGTAGAGTTCAGGGAGGGTTGCCGGGGATGGGAGGTTTGTGTGTGGTCATGCATTTATTTGCATTTCACTGAGCCGTGTGTGTCAGCTGCTAGTGGTGTCAGCTCTATTTTTAGCTTTTCCATTTAAACTCTGTTATCCAACCACTTTCCCAAAGGATCATGGCACTGAAGACAGAGCCTGACATGTCAATAAAAATAAGAATGATGCTGCTTTTACCGACATGCCCGATAAATATAGCCGCTCACGATCAAACTCTGATATCAATTATCAAATTTGCAAAGTGACTTCCTTTCTTTGCCCTGTTGTGTACAACATAAAACAATCCACATGGATGCCAGAGAGACAAGAGATTGTTGAACACACTGTCTGTCTCAGAGTTTCAAGCCCGACTTCAACAGTCACTTTGTATTCAGTGTTCGTTCACATCTCAAAAAGCTGTCTCTTCACAAATATTTTACTTTAAATTTGAGGGGGTGTACTAGATTGGACTCAAAACCTATTTCAATTACTATTATAACCAGGTCTGATGAACTGCATGTTTGTTTTTAACTTCAGCCATGACTGTAGAATCAGGGCCCTGTTATAAGTTTAAAGTAAACCTTACTAACATTCTATCACTGTCCCAAAACAATTTTGATAATGTAAAACTGATTTGTATGTATGTATATACTTTATCATCAGGCAGTTGTTCTGTCCTTTGTGGGTCTGGGAATCCAACACTTGTCAGGCCACCTTCCAAGACTATGACTTGCTTTGTTCCAGCGCCAAAGGCCCATGTGAGCCAGATAAGATCCCTGAATAGACTTGGGCAGAAAAACTTGAACACGCATCATATTTTCACTCCAGAGTCTTGTGGAGTTTTTTTATATAACAAAGGCTCCGTTTTGGACTTAAAAGAAAGTGTGACACCAATAATAACTTCTAAAGGTTTCAGGTATGAGTTTAAAAGTCACATGTTAAAACTGTTGACGCAGACAATTTCCCATCCCACTGCACTCATACACTGTATACCAGAAAATGTGAAGGGCTTTTCATTGCCACAGATGATGTGAAATGACCTGATATGAGCATGATGTGACTTGACTGTGTTATCTGCTGATGTGACTGGAGCAGTCATCCTGGAGTTCCCCAGCTGAAGACCACATCATCGGCACAGGACAGAACATTTGTACAGATGAGTTGCCTAACAACCCCAGACACAGGAGCAATACCTGACCTGCAGCCTAGAAAAAACGCTCTTAAATTAGCATCCAGTTCCCAGCATGGCTGGCAAACACATAGACACATGCAAGTCTGAAAATATCAATAGTAGGCCTACATAGCAGCCACATTTATTTTTGGCAATAGGATGCAAGATTGTAATGTAAAAATACCAGCAGTTCTTTCCCTAACTTGCATTTTGTTTTTTCCCTCACCATCAGTGTAATATACATCAACATTTTAGTACATTTAGTAGATATCATTTAGCTAAAATTACATTAATTAAGGCATAGTAAAAGTTAAATTTATCATGTCCATGACCCAAGGGTGGGGAATCTGGGACAGCGTGGGGGGCCTCTGGCCTGTGGAATGCCAGGGGCAGTCAGGAGCCAAGCAGTGTGGATAACATGACGGGATAATGGCATGATGAAATTGTTTAAAATTACTTTTTTAACCACCAGACATAAGAAATTAAGATAACTAGATAAACTATGGTGTTTTAATATGACATAAATAGTGTATATGGGGGGTTCAGCTGGTTTCATCCTTCATTTACACTGAACACAAGTTGCCCGGCAACCGACCAAACACACATACACACATGCCAATGAGCTGTCACACAAGGACGAAAGGATGAGAGTACAGGAGAGAGGAAGAAGGAGAGGTAGATAGGCAGAGTGTTTGTGTATGCAGTATTTGTGTTTGGACATTTTGTGATTGCATGCAACTGTGTAACATGGAAACCAGAACAACTTCATTTACGAGGAAACTTGTTTCAGATCTATTTTAGGTCTATCTTAGGACCGATATGATATCAAAGGCCGGTGATGACTTAATCTGTCTGATTTGATGTCCATGTGATTCATGAGTCACACTAGATAAAAAGGTTACTTCCGGTTTTAAAACAGTCCAGTTGCCCCAGACTTCTGTCAGTAAAATGAGTGCTGCTTTATGAGAGGACAATGCACAACTTAACATTCAGTATGCTGCTCTTAGATGCGTAAGCGATGCTAATCCCATGACATTTTCATACATTCATTGGATGCTGCCAACGGTATGCCAAGGATAGAATCACTCTGTGAATATCAGAACCAAAGCCAAGATTCTGGTCTTCCATTGGCCGGTCTGTACATCTGTTAGTTTGCTTAAATTAAAAACTAAGCACGTTTTCAAAACTTTTCGGGAACGGCAAAACCTTTTTCTTTCTAATTGCATTTTTAATTCTTTATCAAGTTCAGAGCTGTAATTTCTATCATTTAATTATATTTTTAGTCCTATTATTCTCTAGGATGGGGTTGTGGACATCTGTTATATCATATAGCACCTTCCATCACAGCAGTGCTCAATGCACATGATGAATGCAGACTGAATACTAAGGGACATTATTATATATACATTTCATAAAGCTTTTATCATGTAAATACTACTTGCTATTCTTCCTCTTCTTGTTGTTGTTGTTGTTGTTCTTCTTCTTCTTCTTATTATTATTATTATTAGTAGTAGTAGTAGTAGTAGCATTTTTATATCCTCCTAAAGTCTATAACTATAATAAAAACAAAGACAGCTAAATAATTTAATAAGGGTGTATGTTTGAGCAACCTTGTAAAGCTTAGGACATAAAAAGTTTGGACATGTCTCATGTAATATAATTAAAATTTTATGGCTGTATAAAACAAGGCTTTACACTACCATCAAATGTATAGTTGATGGTAGTGTAAGGAGAGGAGATGGTATGTAAGATTCAAGATTCATTATGAATTCTTAAAGGAAATTGAGGAAGTTGAGTATTTGCAACAGTAGCTGCTGCACCTCTTTCAAACTAAGGAGGCAGCATTTCCACCAATTGGTTTTCAGACACAAGAGGGAGCAAGAGGACAACTAGACAAGATGAACTGCTGTCACCTCAGTGGAAGTATCCGCTCTCTGCCTCATTCAGTGCATTTCCAATTAGAAGTGATCAACTAAAATGAATGATACCGTTACTGCACCTTCAGCCTGGATAAAAGTGTCCATGCCAGACTGAGAGACAATAGGACAAATCAATGTTATTGCATTTGGGGATGTCTACTAAATCACAATACACTATTATATAATATTTTAATTCTAATTATTAGATCAGCCTAAATGTCTAGTTTCCATATATTGTCTCGCAGCCCATTGTGGTCTTACCTGGGCTGAGGTGAGCTCTGCATGTGTAGGGCCTACAAGCATGATGCTTTCAGGTGACTGTTGTTCCCATCCATCCATCCATCCCTCCACCCTTCCTTCACCAGTTCCATGAATCTTATGAGGGAAAACAAGTTAATCTTTAAAAAATGTTAGACTGTATAATACATTTTCGTTTCATCACCAAGTACAGTTACAGTTCATGTGAGATGCAGGAAATTACACCTGAGACAAATCTTAAATCTTAAGAGTTTAATACCACTGTTTATTTAAAATAAAAAGAGACTTGGATTAACACACCTGCAGGCTGCTTCGTGGGATAGTTGCATCACGTTTTGTGTGCATACTGGCACGTTTAAAAGAATGAATGCATGACGTTTGTGGATAGGTGGGATAAAACTGAACGCCTTCACCCCCACCCCTCTGTTTCAAGGCCGTGATGACGTAGATACACGTCGGTCCTGTTCAGATTCTACGTCACTGGGGCGCCCTAGTAGCTCACCTGGTAGAGCTGGACCCCCATGTGCCAAGTCCCTGCTGTATGCGCTTTAATCCGACCTGTGGTCCCTCGCTGTGTGTCATTCCCTCTCTCTCTCTCTTCCCTTTCCTGCATCTATTCAGCTGTTCTGTCCAATAAAGTCAAAACGCCTTGAAAATATATATATATAAAAAAGTATTCTACGTTAGTTCCGCACTCGTGCTTTCGTGAGTCGATACTACGTTGCGCGTCCACAGCCTGACCCTCCTCCTCCTCCTCCTCCCTCCATCATCCCTACGCCCCGCCTATTTCCACTGCGAGGAATTAGTTTTTTCAGCCCTTTAATAAATATTTTTCCGTCACATGGGCTCTCTGGGTGCAGTGTGAGCTGTCGACACTGGCTGCAGCTCCTTTGAACATTATGGGGATTTGAAAGAGGGACCAAAGCGAAGAGGACTCCGCATCTTTCTCTCTGCATCTCCTCCGCTGCTGCGAGGCATCAGAGGATCATGCAACACCTTAAGCCATGGCGAGCTCTGCTCCTTCTCACCGTGCTGTGCCAACCAGGAACCTCAGACAAATACGGTAAGATGATGATACTGATGGTGGCACGGTCCTCCCCAGAAATCACTAATATTTCCACAGGTTACATTTTGTGTCTAAGTAGCTAATGACTTTATCATGATCTCATCCGACTGTAGGATACTTTATCCCCCTTGGCAATCGCTATCATGGTCCTGTAATATTCCAGCAGAGACACCACTGTATTTATGTACCGCCTTAAGGGACTGTACTTGTGTGTCTCTCCCAAAATGATCTGAAATGAACTGTAAATGATTTGCCATTGAGAGATGGGCTCTGTGTGGGTAAATTAAGTCTAATGAGATTAAACTGAGGCGGAGGATGGATGGAGGATGCAAAGAGTGATAGAGCAGATAATAACTAGTCTAGTGAGTGTTTTATTTATTTTTCTTGAACAGCATTTTAGGGAATTATGACCTGTATCATGGCACCAGCGCTCCGCATGCTGTTATTGTCGTTGTGGTTTTAGAGTAAAAAAAGTAGACTGCAGAATGATGTTTTAAACATGAAATAAGAGACAAAAGGTTATGTGTTCCCAAATTGTATGTGCTATCAAACACTGAAGACAGCTTTTAGTCAGAGATATACTGTAGGTTTCTTATGTGCTGAATTAAAAAAATACATAAGGAAAACATTCAGTTTCCTACATTTTAAAAATGTGTTTACTGATGTCTGAACAGCGTCTGCTCATATTTCACCCTCAAGAGCAGAAATGGCAGCATCATTAGCAGTATTAGCTGCTATGTTAATATTATTGACAATGGCAACATTAGTAGCTTCAATTTGATCATTTCATATTGATTTTTGATTAATTTTCTTTTTGTACACTGATGCATAGAGCTGGTATACACTGATGCAACAAGTGAACTATTACATCCCCTATCCTTGGTTTATTTGCAGACAAACATTAAAAAAGGTTTGTTTGTCTGACATGTGTAGGTGGAGATTTGTGAAGTATGGAGGGAATTCAGTGAGTAATTCAGTGAGATTGAAAAAAGGCCATATGTTATTATCTCCCTCAGGTTTTCTCCAACAAAAACAAGTCGGCACGATTTTGGTTGGAACAGAAGGGTGGCCACCCCCATCCTTTCCCCTCTGCCCTGTATATATTAAGTCATTTGAATTATCCAAAGCATGTTTCTATGTTTTATTACTTCTTAAACAGCTTAGGAGCAATTGATCATGGTTTATTTTAGACAAAATGTAAATATTAAATACTTCAAATAACTATAAACCTGTCTGCTGTGTTGCTATATTCTTAAAACTATTAGTGTGAACACTGAAAATTGAACATTAAATGCATGTGAAATAAAGTTATACGTTTCTAATTAAAAACCATACATCATTGAGATAACCTAACAATGAACAATGGACAGCTACTTTGCAGGTGCCTTAGATTTCAGCACCATGGATAGAAACCAGTGTTGCTTCCCTTTGTCAGTTCATCCATTCACACCTCCTTGTTTCCATCTCCGTTTTTTCACACATGCATCCATCCATCTGTTAATTTGATTAGCCATCCATCCATATTTCTGACTGTCCATCGTCACACACACACACATGATATGAGGTTACCGTTAGAGATGATATCTCTGCAGCCGGTGGTTTTCCTAAGGATGGATGTCCTGTTGCTATGACAAACACCGTATAATCGGTCAAGTTCCGTTATGAAATTAATTGCAGCCTTTGTCCTCTTTTACTGCTGGAGTACCAATTTTTCCATTTTAAATAAAGATAATTGTTCTTCTAAAAAATAATTTTTGTTTGTGCTACCAGTCCAACTGTTTGTCTTGGCAGGATGTAAACTAACAAGCAACTTCTTTCATTTCAAATCTTCTCTATTCAAATGCATTCAGGAAAAACATTCTTTCAACAAGCTTCTCACCTGCCGTCTTTTGCATTTGATTTTGGATAATAATTTGTCATTTCCTCACATACATGTGCACAAACAGATTAGATAACATTTCACTTGTTTTGTGACAAAATTGGATTTTACTTTGGAAAATATGGGCAAAAAAGAGACATGAGCTGTGACACAAGAGAGAAAGACAAACAGAATCCATGCATATGCTGTGTTACGTCCCTTTCTATCACCGGCCACCTGCTCCTTCCCACATTGCCATCCCCTCCAAGGTCTTACTCACCACCCTAAAACAAGAAATAGTGCAACAGCTGAAAATGAAATACCAAACCAGAATGTACAAGAATGACCAGAAATACTAGGTATTTGTGTTCCCTGTTTAATTACAAATGGTATTTTATTAGAAATAATCTCTTCCCTCTAATGAATCGTTTTTTCACATTCACAGAATTTAGGTCAACGTTTTATCTTCAGTCATGCTTATCAAATATATTTGTGGAACCACTGGCAGCCTGTTAATGCAGCAACGTTTTCTGAAGTTCCAGGTTTTATGCTAATGATTGACATCACTTGGGGTGAAGGGGCTTTTTAAATGTCCTTGTGCAATTACATAAAAGTCTTTATAAACAACAAGCACAGCGTAGGTCGGCTTTGACTATGGTAGCGTTTAAATATAAAAGAAAGGATGGTTTTTGGTGCGTGGATTTTTGTTACCACTGTGCAGTACATTTGAGGCCAATTACAATGAGTAAGCCAGGGCTAAGCTCACTTTATTGTGTTCTTATTTAAATCCTCTAAATGTGAGTTAAAGCAGTTGTTGCCATGGAAATTGCTGTGAAAGATTTTACTCTGAGTACCTGTTAGCCCTCTCTTTGTCTTTTACCTCAGGTTGCCTGTTTGAGAGAAAACTGTGCACGAGGGATCAGTTCTGCTCAGATGGTGAGTACAACACACACACACAAACAGAAACACACACACAGAGAAACACACAGAAACACACACACATACAAACAAACATACATCATCTCTCTCTTGAACTTAAACATTAAACTTTTAAGACTGGCTACTTTCTTAATCCTTTCTGTACCTCTACAGCATTTTAAATTATTAATCCTGCAGCTGGACACACACAAACACACACACACACACACACACACACACTATATGTCACTGGTAGCATATCGGCACAAAGACTGTGTATGAAAATATATAAACACGAGTCAAGGATTTTTCTTCTCTCAGCCCCATGTGTCTATTGCTCTCCGTCACTTGCCCATCTCCCTTTCCTTGACTTTATCTAAGCCCCTCCCCCGCCCTACTGTCTCCATGGCAACACTGACATCATGGTGAGGTCGACACCCCCACAGTTGTTGTGCTAATACAGCGATGAGTCACTGACACACACTTACGCACTTCTCTGTGGAAATTGCACTTACGCACACGCACGACCATTGGACAGAATACAAAATGGATCGGCTCAGGAGCAGACGCTGGGCTATATTTATGCACATCTGTGGGTCTGAGGATAGAACACGGGGGAGAAAGATACTTGGTATAACAACTACTCAAATGTTTTAATGTCTGATGAGTTTAAATGAGCCCTTTGTCTTTCTGACTGTGTGTCTCTTCAAGAACCCACCGTGCAGAATAAGCTGTGGTTGTTCGACATCAACAAATGTTAAGTGACCCAATTTGGGAGGAAAATATAAAAGTCCACAGAGAGTGTAATCACCGCAGTCTCTATAGATGCATACAGGGTGCCCCAAGACTAACACATAAAGAATAACTGTGTTGAGTTTAAATTAAGAAGTCACAGAGGTGTCTGACTGCATGAGATAACTAGGAGCAACAGTAAAATCAATAGAAAACACTTAGAGTCTTTTGGGTCTTCATTAACTGAAGCAACCGCTATCTCATCTATATGATTTATATCTGTCTGTGTTCAGTATAGTCCCCTTGAACCGAGTATTGTACTGTACAATGCATCCCTGTAAGCTGTCTGTAAATTACTGCTTTCACTTGTTGGATGACGTGTTTGTCATCCTAAGCATCAAAGGATTGCAAAATGATCTAAAAGATGCAGTTAACAATGGCTAAAATGTTTGCTGCTGTATTTCTCTGTTGGCTACATTGAAAATATATGGCAGTCACTGTCCATGTCTTTTTGTTCTTCTTTTCAGATGGAAATTTGGCAGTAATTATATTTGTTGTTGGTTGGTTGTATATAGGTTGCTGACGCACCAGGAGCTGAACAGGAGTGTCAATATCAGTTTCAACTCTCTGTGTTGAGTGACGTGCAGACTGATGTGGTACAGGAGGCAGTTCAAAAAAGAAGGAATAAGCCTGCGTGCTTAGCTAAAAAAATAAAGCACTAGATAAGAAACTAAATCTTTCATATGAACAAAACAAAGTTATTTGAATTGGAAATTGATTTCTGACAGTTTATTTTACAGCATTCTGTAAGGTTTATGGCAAGGCAGTGGTGAATCCACAATTGGCATTTGAGGAATAATTTGTCCAAAATATGTACTGATGCCTGCTGGCTGCACAGTACATCCCTCTATCTCTGAAGCAAATCTACAGACTTCAAAGTTTCTTGTAGTTAAAGTCCCTTTCTTTCTCCTGCCTGCTGTCTACTGCTAGTGAAAGGGAATATTGATTATGTCCTGTGTGCCTTGCTGTGGAAAGCGCAGCATCTTTTAGATCCTCTCAGAAGTTGATTATTTGTGTCTGTGACAAGATGTGTGGCTGGCACTGTCCCAGGCAGATTGGAAGTTTTGCAGGTTGTCACTGTCCACTGTCTATAAATTTAGGAGTGTGTAGGCCCTGCTGGTTTGACCTTGTCCTTCTCCAAGAGGATTTGTTTGTGTTGTTGCAGGATTCTCCCCTTTAAGCCTGTTGAGTGTGTTAAACAAAACAACTGTCACTGTCATTGTCAGCTGAGTTTTGTGTGTGCAGGTGTAGCACCCTGACCCTGGACAAGCCACTTGAGGAGGTTTTATGGTTTTGTCATAATTGCCCATAGTAGCAAATACACTGTGGTGCCCCACACAAGTGAATGGGTAAGTATATGAGATCATCAGAGGCCTTAGCTTGTGCTTACACATGTACTCTAGGGGTACGCGGTTCAAATCACTGGATGATTCCTTGTCCTGGATATTAAAATCAATTAGGTTACATTTCATTGAAGGCACTGGGGAAGAAAACCACAAGACTTTGGAAAGATGTGTTCAGGAATAAAGTAAACCATTTATGCATGTCCCTAGTTTGGTTGGCATGACTTTATTGTGAATATGTACACTTTTCTCACACAACTTCCACCTACTGTAGAATATAGCACAGATGCGTGTCACCACAATACATTTGACAATAATCTTTATTTAATTATTATTTATTTATTAATAATTATTATTTATTTATTATTTATAAATCATGTATATATATATATTCTTTTACATTTAAAGGCTTCCCCTATCTTACTCTGAATACTGCTGTAGGTTCCCTGCGCAAAAATGATATCTACAGATATAACCCCAGCTCCAAAAATAGTACCAATCAAGCTGTGCAGTTTGTGGTCGTCTTTCCATTCATCTTCCATTCCTCCTCCTCCTCATCCTCCTCCTCCTCAGGTCCCTCTTCTCTCTGTCATCAGTCAATTCACCAGCAGGAATAAGAGCTACTGTATTTCTACTCCACCAGTGCAATACATTGCCAAGATACAATATCCTGTGTCATATCGCATCACCAACATTAGCTATCTGCAATTCGATTAGGGGGTTTCACTGACTCAGATGGAACATATGTATGGGAACTGTCTTTTGCTGTGTTCAGTGAGGGAAAGATGAACACGTTTGTATCTGTAGACTAAGGATAAACTTGGTAATAACACTAACACAAGGTTAAGACATTTACATGATCATATACCCACATAAAGCGTGCCACTCTTCAATGCGCTGAGTGGTAAAAGCTGCAGTGCTTCCCATAACATTTGTAGCGATACAAACACTTTCATCCTCACTAATCTGTTCAGCATAACAATTCACCGTTTCACTGTGGCAGGTTGGATTGTGTGAGATTTAGCTGGTGTAGTGAAAGACTGGTGACTCATCAGTGCACCAGATAACACAGAGTCTGCACTGCTTTTCTCTTTATTCCCATCACATTGCAGTGTATCTTTCTTTAGCAATCTTCATTTTACTTACTTAGATTTCAAATTGGAAAAAAAACAGGCTTTATTGGTATGATTTGGCATCCCACAATGATAGCACTGTGATAAGTAAGGAGATTCAGATTGTTAATATCTAACTTCCTTGTTTAAACTACACTTTGTGGTGAACGTCTTCTTTCCTCCTGACTCATCTGATGCTGAAGGGATGAACACTCGTAGACCTGCATTGCAATGCAGTGATATAGGCCTTAGAATGATGTATCAGCTTGAAGAATGGATGTGGATTCATGTTGTGTACTACATAATATATACATAAAAAATAGGAGAACAGTTCACAAAAACTAATACTGAACAAATGCTATAATTATTTCTGTTGCCATAAGACCTGCCTGCAGGTTAGCAATTATTTCAAAGGAATTTTTTTTTTAAAACACTGACTTCAGCAGTACCTCGTCAAAAGGAATGTGACAAGCAGTATAAGTGTGTGGGCTGTACTTCAAAACTATGACTCACTGCTGTGGGCTAGTGTGGTGTGGGCTACCGTAAGAATTATGGTTATTACAAAGTACTGTGCTGCACCTCAAGGGCAGCCTCATTAAAATATATTTGTTGTAAAATGTTTTCCGATTTAGCTGGAAAATAAAATAAAATAAAATAAACTTAAATTATGCCTTGTTAAATTTGTTCTCAGAGACTGTATTTCCTATAAGCTTTTTTCACAGCAGGCATTTTCATTTGTCATACTAGGAAAAGCAAAGGTGTTACTAATAACATTGATAATGGCTCTGTTCTGTTCAAGTGTCCCAGTGAGCAATGGCAGTGTGACAGTGAACCAGCATGCACAATACTAAGACCCTGTAACAGAAGCAGATAAATGGAATTCAGCCATCATTATTTTCTTATTTATACCTGTGCTTTTCCTTCTGTGACGTCCATGTGTGATGTCCAGATGTCGCTTATTGTCCCTAAACTTGATTTGGGGCCATGAGTCACTTTAAAAAGAGACTATCCTGGCAAAATAAGACGTTTAACATAGTTCATTTTTATTCATTTTTTATTCATCATTCATCATTTTTGTTCATTCCAGACGGGCTTTTTGGTCAGTGTCGTAGCTCTAAGCAGGACCAGGTTCAGTACCAGGTGTCAGTTCCTGTTCTGAAGAGGATGCAGGAAGTCCTCAAACAGCTCATGCTACAAGGTAAGATAATACATGGAAATAATCGCTACTAAACATTACTTTACAAAACTAAAACTTTGCAAAAGAGTGAATACCCCATTGATCCTAAGTAACTGCGACGGAAATCAACGGATTAGACGATATCTCTTTTGTCATTTTAACTGTTTTTATATATTTTACATTTAATTTTGTAAAATTTCTGTCTAGTTTCAGTCTATAGTCTAATTAAAGATAAAGAAAGTATATTTGTATGATTTAGATTATATTACAGTTAGACACAGTGGTGCTTTGCTAATAAGCACTAAACACAGTACAGCTGAGGCCTGAATGTTTTGCAGGTATTTGGCTATAAACCAAAGTACACATTTTATCCAGATGGTGGCGCTAAAGAAAATATCATGTGGATCACCAAAGTTACTACAAATGATTCCACTGAGGACCATGACTTAAAAAAGGCAATCCAGTAGTTTTTGAGCTATTTTAGTCTGGACCAAAGTTGTGGGTCGACCGACAGACGGAAATGGCCATCCGTAGTAGCCGTTCTACTATCGTGGCTACAAGAATGCATTAATAATGGACTATGCTGAATGAATTTGAATTTGAGTAGCTGTATAGTCACATTCAAGTTTGTTTGGTCACGTACTTAACTAGTAATGATTGTGCTTATTGCACTGTGAACTTATGAATGCTTTATGAATACAGGCAGCAATCCATTCATAAAACGGCCATTTCAACAGAACTCTTATAAGACACAGTATTGATTTCAGAGAATCTCTCTCCGTCCCTCACACACACCACAATCTTGCACTCTCATTCTCAGTTTCTGTGGCTTTCTTTAATTGCTGTGTGTGTGTGTCTGTGTGTATGTACGCAGGCCTTTCCTGGCAAGACGACATCACCCAGTATATTTTGTCAAAGGAGCTGAAGAGAGTTCCCCATACGACCCAACCCTCTAAACCAAACTCCTCTTCCTCCTCCTCTCATTTGTCTCAGTAAGTGCTCTCCAGTTGCAGTCATATTTAGTGAGAGATGCACATTTTACACAAAAACAATTAGTGAAAGGAGTCGATCGATCGATCCATTCATAACCACCCTAAATCATCATTTATTTCCCTCTGGATCGATTCCCTTCCTATCCTAACCTATCAACTCCTGTATCCATCCTAATCCTGTCTTTGTTTCTCTCTGGGTTGCCAGGCCCAAACAGCAAACCCCCCACCACCATAGTTCTAAGTCAGGGTCCACACCTCCTGGTGGCAACTATGGGGACTACATGATTGTTGAGCCTCCTCAGTCCCCGCTACGCATGCAGACAGCCTCCATGGACCCATACACATACCACCAGGTACAGATACACACACACATCTTTATTGTCCAAAAGCAGGTGTGTGTCAACTACAAAACTAGTCCAAGGCATAAGTGTGGTTACAGCAGACAAAAATTCACACATGTAACCAACTCATTTCCCACTAGCACATTGTATATAATCATAGAACATCTTAGAAAACCAAATATAAGAAATTTCAGAAGAATAAATAAAATCTTGGAACTCACATGGTACAATATCTCTCCTAATTCCAGCATAGGTACCAAGATGAAGTAGAGAGATCACTGATTGGGGCGGGAGGCGGTTACGTCCGTCCCTCTTCAAGGTCCCAGGCCAATCAGAGAGAGAGAGAGCGGGAGAAGCAGCTGCTACAGGAGGCCTTGTCTCTCTACCTGGCGTCTGCACAGCCTTCATATCGCCACAGAGGGGCCGGTTCCATGGCTCCCGCAGGTAAACAGGATTTTCAAATTTCCAAAATAAGAAAAAAGCTATAGTGGAAAGAAGACGATTGAAGTATCAGACAGGAAAACACGATAAAAGTACTGGTCTGTCTGGTCAAAAACATGCTGTTGAAAAGGCTTTTTGTAAGCTATTTCTCAAGGAGTTAGATACATTATAACTTAACAATTCTCTTTACCATAGTAACTTATTATGCTATGAGCAGGTCTGCCTTATTATGAAGACTTGGAACTAGAGATACCAGTGGACTATGTGGAAGACTACACCCTAGAGGAGAGACTTGGTACTGCTGGCAGACAACAACAACAACAACAACAACAACAACAACTGCTACAACAACAACAACAACAACAACAACAACTACAACTACAACTACAACAACAACAACAGATGCAGAATAAAAAGGTTCCTCAGGACTTCAACACTCTGTCTGCAAATGGAAATGGTGAGGAAAAGGAACTTAATTTACACGATGCCTTACAGATTCAAGCTATGGATGTACTCACAAAGTGTGCATATCCAGAACGTCCATCCAATTTTTACATACAAGATAAGGCTAACTATCCTATACTGTGTTAGATGGCCTTCTCCAGAGGATGTCAGGAGTCTTGCAGAGGTACGGAGTTGACCCCAGAGAGCTCAGTCAAGAGCAGCTCTACAAGCTAGCCCTCATTCTGCAGCTGCTGCAGGCTCAAGAAAAAACAGGTACAGGCTTTCACTTATAACCTGAGCTCTATTTAGAATATTAAGTCAAACAAAGCCAAACCCCAGTATTGATACATGCTTTTCTAAAGCATAATGTAAGGGTGTGGTGGTATGAAGCTTTAAAATCTATATATATACATGAAGGATAAGAGGTTAAAATTGGCAGCTTACTACCTTTTATAATGACTCTTATACCTTGTGATTTCATTCTATCAATCATTTTGTGCCAATAAAGCAAGTGTTGCCTTTTTCAGATGGCAGAGATCTAAATTTGGAATAACATAACAGTAGATGGGGAAACGATGAAATTGAGTTTTATTGTAGAATTTGTTTAGAAACATCAGTTTGTCTCTCTTAACACAGATCCACCTGAGAAAGACCTCATCACCCTCAAGGAGGTATGTCAGTGTCTATTGTCAGCAGTATTAACAAGAAGCAGACACCTTTTTTTCACTGACAGGTCTTCTATCATTCCCCCCCGTAGATGCAGCTGTTAAAAACAGACAGTGTATCTCATAATCCGGAGAAGCCTGCCCCTGCCCCTGTTCCTGGTCCCCCCGCTGCCCGTCCTGCCCCCTCCTCCGCCTCAGTCCCAGCCACAGCTAAAGCCAAGAGCGCCAGCCTCCCCACTTCTGCCTCCCAGCCTCCGCAGGCAGCTCCTGCCGAAGCTGGACAAGGCCTGAGGGAGCAGGGGCCACCACTGGTTGAGGGTACAGGAGCCAAGGAGGAGTATGGGTACATTGTCACCAACCAAAGGTTAGCATTCAATCAAATTCAGCTTTCAGCTCTTCCATTTATTACAAACAAACTGCAAAACATGAAGCACACCTCTTCCTGTGGAGCCAGTAATTATTCACAGGAAAGGCCTACTTCACTCTGAGAGTGTTGAACAAATGCGGTCATGCCAAATGCATTCATTAAATGACAAAATGTTATATTAATTGCCAGTAAAGAGTGGCAATTTATTAAACATGGTGTTTACAAGGAGGATAATGATGTTTTTCTTTTGTAGTCCCCTGAGTTTATATGATGGAGTGAAGCTTTTGGAGTTGCTGGCTGATAAGATACACCTGACAACCAGCAGCTTCATCAACATCAGGTAACACCCATTATGTGTATGTCAGTGTGTGAGAGAATTTTACTAGTTTACTCTAAACTATAAGAGTGTTTTTTCATATTTTTGTGGTTTTGTGTTGCCAGTGTGGTGGGTCCTGCACTTACGTTTCGTATCCGCCAGAATGAACACAACATGACAGCTGCAGAAGTGGCTGCTAAAGCTGGTGAGGCTCAAAAACATGCACAGACAGACACACCAACACCTACGTACCCACAAACACACACAAGTATGAACTGAAAAGTATGTGGGCGCTCTGTCTCAGTTTTTTCCTCAAATATCGTTAAGAAAATTATTTTTCTCACATCCAGTTTTATAATGCTTGTTGTTTTTTCACCTCCAACAGTATCTGAAAAGAAGTTCCTGGAGTCTGAGACAGGCCTGAAGATTGTACAGACTGGTGTGGGACAGGTACTTGATAACCACATACACACAAAAACACTTAGCCTCTGTGGAAAAAATGTCTTTGTAACCCCTCCTATCATATGGAGCAGTTGTCAAGGCAACATAGATATAATCATTGCTCTGTATTCTTTACCATTTTCATTTAAATCTATTCATTCATGGACACTAGCTTGACAAATTATCCGACCTGATGGTGTCAAATGAGATTCCAGGCAGATTTTCACATTGTGACCACTGGCTAGCATATCTTGTAGGGTTACTTTATATGTGGCTTTTGTTACAGAATGGCTTGATTCTCTATCTTATCCCTATATTTTTTTGATAAAGATGTGGACAGGGTGTATGCAATCCTAAATAAGAGGTTATACAAATATAATAGATATTACAAAAAGTAACATAACTATATCTCCAAAAACGTGTTTATTTCTAAGTTTAACACACACATTTTTTTTTATCTCAATATCAATCACAATCAATCGATGCAGTATTTCTGCCCTGCTGGCTCCATAATTATACACCATCAAAATGGGGTATTGATGCAGAAAATTAGCTCAACTTTTTCTAATAAAAAATAACTTTATGAGCATGAGCACTGTAGTGTATGTGGTACAGCACAGACAAAGGTCTAACCTACAGAACTTGTTTTCCATCCACCACTACACTTTGTGCTGTAATACTGTGTGTTTGTGTGTGTGTGTGTGTGTGTGTGTGTGTAAACCCCT